TTGAAACTTGAAGCAACATACGCTTTGTTATTATTAATGGGACAGGACTTTGGCTTTTTTTTTTCCTGGCCAACAATAGAAATCACTCAACATTGGTGTCAGTAGTATAATTATTTTTGGTAGACTAAAATAGAATTCAGACTCAACTTCAAGATGACAACTTTTGCTCGGAATAAAACTGAAAATGTTATGAAAATGATAAAGCACGAAGAGAAGATCAAGAAGAAAGAGACAGGAGTTTAAGAAAGTAATAACAAAATTGATATATGAGGTCTACAAAAGAATTATGAACAAAATTCAATTTGATCGAAGACAAGATGAAAAAATCTATAAGAAATTGACAAAAGGACAAAAAACTTAAGAAAGTAATTACAAAAGGGTATCTATAAAGTACAGACCGAAATGTATAAAGAGCATCAACGCCAGGGTAAAATATCTAGAAACTGAACTGGAAAATACAATAATCAAATTAGCCACACATCTTTCTGCATCCGTTTACGAATTACAACACAAAATACTATTAATATGTAATATTGAATATGAAAACCCATCTGGTCTGCAACTGTTATTACCCCTGCTGTTTTCTGTGATTGTACGATTTTCCTGGATTATCTAAAATACCCCAATACCTCATCAAGTTACAGAATTTAGCCACTTCAGCGACATCGTCCAATCGAGAAACCAACAGTCTGTGTTTGAAGGGTACCAGAGCAAGCGTATTAGGCATAGTTTGAAATAATACCATAGATAAATGGATAGAGTAGTGAAAATAAAGCTACTCATCTTGGTCCACGTGTCAAAGTACCAGCTTTAACAGCATTAACCAATTTTATAAGTAAGAGCCGTAGAAATTACCGTGTATTAATGGCCGCATTATCACACAGATTTGGAGTGTTACATCAGAAAGAAGTTTCTAAAGCAAAGTTTAGGAGCAGAGGGAAGACGAGATATTAGTCTAAATTGCTGATGATTTAGAAATGCTTGCCAATTAATTTTATCCCGATGCTTCACATGAAACGATGAATTATGTTGGCACGTGACCAATTCATAGATGCTATAATGGATAAAGATATATTAGACTAAAACAATGTTGGTTTACATCTTTAAAAGGAAGCTGTTAATTGATAATGGAACTTGACTCAACTAAATTTGTAGATAAAGAACTAAAGGCTCCATCCAGCTTCAATCGTAATTAAAATAAGACATCTTACCAAGAACTGCAGTTAAGTCTTCAAAACTAATAACTGCTTCCAAATGATGACAGGTAAAGAAAATCACTAAGATTGGAAACAGAGACATAATAACAGAAATTATGACGAATATCTTTTTGACGACAAACTAAGGTTGTGAAATACTGAGGATATGTCCCAGAGCCCAATCAAACTAAAAGAGCAGGAGAGAACTATACAAACATCAGAAAATTGGCATTAGTTGGACTTTAGGGACGAAATTTCAGATGAAAATAACCAATCTGTTCAATTTGTGATAGAGTTCATTATTTAAAAAAACTAATTCACAAATGAACGGATTCGTTGATGGAAAGCTATGCAACATGTTAATTGACACCGATTCTATAGACATCATTGCTCAACCTGATCTAGTAATGAGAGCTGGGAAATTACCTCCAGAGACGAAGCAAAAAAAAAACTTATATATTGATCTGGACAGCAAGTTTTATACATTTCCAAGCATTAAAGTCATGTCCATCACATTACGTTAAACTTCCTTCAGTATAAACAACAACAAAAAGTTCTGAAAATGTCTACTTTAAAAAAAACAGCAACATACGCTACAACAGTGTGTATTCTTAAAATGACTTTCAACATTGGATTAGAATACGGCATACGTCTAACAGTAAAAATGTAGATTTTAAGATGGAAACGAAAGGTAATGAAAACAACTGATGTTTAAATGATAATTAGTTAAATATCTAAATAGTTTAATATGTTAAGTTATAGCTATAAAGTTAACTGACCCTTATGAGAACGAAGGAATGTTTACTATGTCCAGCATCCAAAATGGCTATAATACTGCTTATTAACGTTATTTAGCTATATTATCTGGATATTATTATTAGTATATCCCTTGTGACGTAATCGGCTTACAACGACATACCGTCTGCAGTGTCTTGTTTTTCATTTGATTGTTTTCAAAATTCGCTCATTTCTTTATGTTGAGGAACAATGTTTGAAATAAAGCTGAACAAAGGTAGCTATGTTTTGTGTCTTTACTTTTGATGTTAATCCCCAAGCCAAACAGTACGTTACCAAAGCTTATTTGTCAGTAGTATCACTGGTCGAAAGTATACTGCTATGCAGCAGCAATTCATATGAAGCAATAGAAACCAATAGGTCTAAAATATGTGATAAAAAATAATGTTAACTGCATATGTTTTTCCCATATACTCTTAATCTTGCTTTTCTTCCATTTCGGATTCAAAATCAGAGGAGTGTAAAGATAGTATTTCAGATTTACCTTCCATCTCCCACAAGTCACTGCCCAGGAGACATTTTGTTCAATACCAAAGCTCGTCGGTCGGGTTGGACGATGAAAGACAGAACATTTTCTGAAACGCTATTTAAATATGCAGTATAATATTTTAAATTATACGGCTTAGACGCCTTAATTAAGCGAAGCATTAGAAATCAATAGGCATAAAAAGTGTGATAAAAATCACGTTAACTGTATATGTTTGTTCCTCCTGTTATTTATAAGTTTGATAAATTCGTCTTTTATGCTTCAGTTACTTGTCAAAAATAGTTTTGATTTAAAATATTGTTGCTATTATTACATTTTATGGAAGTAAGGAGAGCTAGTCTTACGTTTTTACTAATCTGGTATTTGATATCTTTGTGTAACACATGGGCTAAACAGCTCGAAGGTGCAGGCATAGCCGTACCAAACTGTCAACTGCTGACTATAAGGCTACTCTCAACCGAATAGCAGTATTGGCTTTTAATGCGGATTGTGTACAACGTTGAATCGCTGGCTTTAACCCTGGACCCTCTGATCCACAGCCAGGCAAGCTAATCATTGGGCCACGCCCAAATATTTTATCAGTTCAGTGTGGTATATGTTTGTATAATAATTTCCTACAGTGATAATCAATTTTCACAAGCTTCCCGAAACGATAATACCTTTATTATGTACACGTGTTTATTACAAACGTTCAAAGAAGTAAATGCTGTCTAAGTTTTAATATTTGTTTCTTTGTATTATATTGTAATTAATATAACACGAACAGACTGCTAAGTAGAAATTCCAATCTATAGCCAAGCTAAAGAGGATAATTTCGGTAATCTACAAAACAGCAAAAATAGTAAATATTCAAGCTACCATTTATATCATACTGTGTATTCTGATAAATTAGACAGTCACCTTTAGGTTGTATTTTGTTTTAGTGGTTAACACAAACATTTGTTTGACAAGCGCATATTCAAATAAGCCTTTAGAACTAGCAAATTGAAACTTAGTTTTACCTAATTTGAGGGTGCAGAAATGATTGATTTTACTTCATACTGAAAAATCTATTTTAGAGTTATAATTAACTTTATAATTAATCTTTAATTAACACGTTCCATAATTACAAACAAAAGCAAGCTGATATTTTCATGTGTTAGAAATGGCAAAAGGCTATTAATATTCAGACGAGAATATATTTTAAAAAGTTTACGTCTATTTACTTAATCAGATTATTTTACTCGCAAATTTGTGCAATAAATTAACTTTTTTCAGTGCTTTAGCACAAATTTACGATCTTCTACATTCAATGTAATACAGAATACGAGAAATATAAAAATAAGTCTTATCCGTAACTTAACAAATCATGATTATAATATAGAAGAAGGATCGAATGTATTATGTTCTTAACTTTATGCTACATTTCCAAAATAAATTTAGAGAAAACTTTCAACGAATATCATAATACGAAATAATGAAACTACTTAGATAGATAAATAATTGCAAAATTGGAATATATAAATAAAACCGTAATATCAGGCACGCTTTGAAAGTTTTTAATGTATCCTATTTGCTCATCTTTTAAAACTAAATTCGAAATTTACAAACATTCTACGTTTTAGCATGAAGACGTTTCTACTTTGTATTTTTTAATACCAAATTAACTTGTCTTCACTTGTTGTCTAATATGCATACCATAAATATTTAAACACTTATTTTGGAACAACTCTTTTAAGTAGTCCAAGTAGTCCTCGTTTAGTCCAGCGATTAAAGCCTATGATCGCCGAGTGCTGCAAGATATGATTACAAATTTCACTTAGATAATACTTGACCACGAAGAACCGTTATAACATACAACTTACTACAGGTGTCTTCATTTTGTGAAGAACTAACTGTATATCACATGACAAGTCTTTACTTTTGTCATGTGAAACTCAGTTGAAGAGGATATACGTATTGTTTTCTTTCAACTATCCATACTGTAATCCTAAAGCTGTTTAAGTACATTGAACGTTTTTTAAGAATTTAGATTACTTGTATATGCCTTACCTTCACAACATATACAAAGAAACATTCATTTTATTTCTTAAGATAAAGAATGAACAAACCAAACTCATGAAAAGATTCAATGAGTCTGTTTATACTTTAGATGACCGAATGATTTCCTGAACGTTGCATAGCGCACTTCTCGTGAGTTTTTCGCATCTCCTAAAAATACCACAAATTCAGAAATAACTCCAACACATTTTCTTTCTTTTTTCACATACAAGTAAAAGCTTAGAAATATTAGAATTTTATTCACAAATATAAGAAAGTAACTAAACGAAATATTATTGTAAAACAGATTCTTTGGAAACGCGCACCTTTAAAAGAATAAAATATTGTCCAAAAGGTTAAATATCATTAATAAACAAAATATTAGTGAATATTTAATGACCTCTATTATAAAACTTGTGTTAGCATTTATTCACACTGTTGAATCAGAAACTTCTAGAGTGACGTTGAGATACTAATGAATTGTAGGGTCAGTACATACTTACCACAGTATAGACCCAGTTTTCACGCCACTTGACGTATTAACCGCCTTAGATTTAGAAAACCTCATCCACTCGACGTCAGCAACTCGGACTTCATAGTTGTTCAACAAACACGCGCCAATTGAAACAGCCCTTATTCAAAAAGAGATACGTGTTTGCTAGATGTCAGTATATTTAAAGTACAAGTTCATCGGAATAAAAGTTTCTTATTTTTAAAAACGAAGAATATGTTAAGAACAAGAACATGCATTTATAAGCTGCTTATGCGTGTGTTCTGAAACACTGGTGAAGGACTCTGTGAAACTATCGTGAAATTTAAACTATCTGATCTCTTTCCGAGCACGTGCTCTCGTGATACGGCACGCGTTGACTGTCGACTTCAGCTACATATGGAAAGGAGTCTGCTACGCGCATTGCACCATGGGAAAAGCGTAAGAACTATTCACCATTGGTGGTTGTTGGCCTGTTCTAATATTGTATCCATGATGGTCAAATATGAAAAACTGACGTTTCATAGCTACTTTAAGAGAACTAAAGATTGGAAAATTTCTAGAAATGTTAATAATTTTTTTATTGTCGCGAAAAATGTTGCTTATGACATTTCATGTCTAACGTATTGACGAACAATTAAATACAAATGAGTACATTTTCCAAGAAATCACATAAGCCCTTGACCCTGTATCTATAATTTTCCAATTTATTTATTTTCTGTCTTATCTGGCTAGAATTATACGTACTTTATCTTCTTGTAAACACATTAAACAGCTAGTTATACCCTAATACTGGCACAAGCATTATTTACAGCCTGAGATAATCTTCCCTAGCTTTTCAGCTCCATTAGTCAAGAATAATGGCAGGCTGATCTGTCTAACACAACCTGCTAGTGTAAATGCTTCCGCTATTAGATTTTTGCGTGCTTTTGAAATTAATGGGGTTTTACAAGACTTCGCAAAAATAATATAATTTAAAAACTTATATAGTTCACTAAAATTAAGAAAGCAGATGTTACAACTGGTAATCATCTTCAGCATGACAAACGCTAGTGTAGTTTATCCAGGACATACACTGTAATGTTCTACATCAGTTCACCCAGTAGAATGAGAACTATAAATATATGTAAATTACATAGTTTAAGTAACCTATAAAGGAATATGAAAACCTATTTGTACCTAATAAAACATCTAGAAATTTAAACGTTCATATTCAACCTCGTAGTGTAGAATATTTTGTAAATACACAATAAAACTGTCAGTGAAATTCAAGTCAATATACTTTTAACATTTATCACCAAAATGATAACTTTCTAGCTCCAATGAACTAATATTTAAACAGAGACAAATTTCGCCAAGATAATCACTCTCTGAAGTTCAACGGTGAACTTCAAGGCTTAAAAATTCGTAGTTAGATTCCTGTGAATGTACAGCATAAATAACCAAAAGCGCATCTTAGTGCTTAACAAAAACCAAAGTCCAAGAAAATCCGTTTTATATAAATTAGTTTATTAAAAACAATAAATAAATACAAATATTACACTTCTATAAGTCTAAATTTATAATTTATTTAAACTATCTATACATGGCTTACACAGTATTACATCTAAAGACAATTCCCAGGTACAACTGTTTATATGTTTTATGTCATGGTAATTGATGTTGTATTTACACACGAACCTACCACAGCACCTGTATCCAGTTTAGCTGCTCCAAGGCCATACTTAGGCTAGTAGTTAGCATGTCGGGCTGCATATCAAAAACTCTAAGACTAGAGTTGCAATATGCCACTGGTTAGCAGTTCTAAACTAGGGATAGCTATGCCCGAATCTTAGGAGATCTCTGATTTGGCCCTTTATTCAATGTGTCGCACGAGGCAAAATGAAAAATTAACACTAATAGTTAGGAGAAATGTTTCCCTTCTTTATTTCGTTTTTTATGTTATTTCATATTTTTAGATTTATTACCTCATTTTTCAAAATTTTATTTCGACACGAGAAATATTATGGCTCTATAGAATTTAAAACACGAACATGTAGTATTCATCCTTACCCCTAGCCATGTTGTCATTCCCAGCCTTATACTTTTGAAACGTATTTTGCGAAATGAAGATGTGACCGTCGTTGCTGATTTTGCTATGAAAGAGTATAGATAGCCTCCAATTCTTTCTATGGATATCGATGGATGCATCAAAGTGTTTGGAGGAAAGAAAGAACAGTTGAAAGGAGCAGACATACGTGTGTTCTATATCTCTTTTTCCATAAATTATTCTTGGGCAACAACCTAGCTTTCCTATAGCTTCTAGAAGTATCCTATAACTATTCTAGGGATCGCTGCTTGTGTTATATGTATTGAGCCATGTCTTCCTGCAGGAATAGCCGACAATGAAACTATTAATACATATGCCAAATGGAAGCAATTTATCATAGGGTCAAAATGAGATAGATAATTATTCCCTTTCGTAGTATATATCTTCGTTGCTTTAGGATGGACTAATCACATTAAAATGAAGAGTTTTTTGTTTTTTCATATACTTCTTTCTCCAAACACGTTTGAAAAATCTATCGATATCTATAGAGGGAACTAGAAGCCGTCTTCCTTTTCATAAACTCAGCAGCGACGGTCACATCTGAGGGATTTTTGTACCTAAATGTACCTTCATTCTGCAAAATGGGTTTCAAATGTCAAAGACTGAGAATGAAATTATATTTAAAGGTAAAGACGATCACTATATATTTGTGTTTTAAATCCAGACTGAAATAGAATTCTATAAGCCTCAGCCATTTATTCGAGTCATAATGGTTCTCCACGTTACCTTAGATCGAGTCCAACTGTAGTTTCGAGAAGAAAAAAAAGAAAAAAAATGAGTTATAATATCACTTAAAGAGCTTCGTAAAATATCAACTGTTCCGGTCTTTTCTTAAGTGTACCGTTTCACCCAGTGCAGTCGTTTCAGTTTTCAGCAATATTTATCATATCTCCTTACTCAAGTATGTACACTCCAGTCTTTACCGACATATATCACTCCACTTTAGTTCAAAATAGCCACTTCAATACTTACCTACATATATCTCTCCATTTTAGTTCAGAGTAGCCAATCCAGTCTTTACCTATATGTATACTCCATTTTAATCTAATGTAGCCAATCTGGTCTTTACCTACATATATCTCTCCATTTTAGTTCAAAGTAGCCAGTCCAGTCTTTATTGGTATGTGTTATTAGTCCAAAGTAGCTGTTACAATCATTTTAACTTGTATAAAATAACATATTATCATGTAGCTGCTTTATTGTTGACTTAAATGTGCTTCTTTATTTTTTAATGAAATATAATCTTTCCACTCTTTGTTCACAAGTATCATCTTACTAATTTAAAATATAGCTGTACTGGTACTTATTTGCATTTATCATCTTGCAGTTAATGCGGCTGTTAACGTCTTTAATTACAAGCATAATACAACATAAATTCAATTTAGTAATTCCACTCTTTACTTAAATGTACCATCTTTCAGAAGTCCGTATATCTACTTTATTCTTAATTAATATAATAATTCCGCCTACACCTACTGTAATTAAACATACGTCATTAAACAAAGAACGTTATCACCTGTAATTCAAAACTTTTCCTTCTTCTTCTATACAGATAATTGCTTTGGACTGTCATTCTTTATTTCATATGAAACCGCATGTTGCTGATATAATATATGTGTAATACTGTCTTTGTCTTTTTATAACGAGGGTCTTGGATAGTAATGAATGAATGGAAGCGTATTCCTCGAGGCATTTTTTGTCTTAAGCAATTTTAGATAAAGCTGAAATTTTAGTGTATTAGATATTCCTACATAAATTCATAACAGATCATGAAACTTTTGAGGTTTAATTTCTTTGAAGCTTTGAAAAGATTAGTTTGGTAGATACGATGATCCATTTTTATATAATACAGATAGCAATATATAATATTTCTCATAATAATACATTAGAAAAATTCGGAGCAAAAGCGTGAGTGAGATTCAGATTTGGACTCCTTCGCCTTGTTAAATAGTAAATATAATACATATATAAGAAAATCGTTTTCTGTGAAATATTCGTTTGACTTTGTTTAGCACTTCTTATCCAGTGTTGAATAACTTAATTGTCAAAATATCGAACATATTTTTCCTTTGGTTATTGTTGATATCAAATTACGTGACGCAATTTTTAAAGTACAAGTTTTCTGTCATCCTGTTTTATTCTATTCTTCATTATTCTCTGGCTTCTTAGAACTTTCTCGTTCGTCTGACTGGTGCCGATTTCTCCTGCTTTACTTTATCTGATGTCATTTTATTTACGTTTTGATTTTTTATCTCCTTCGTTCTTTTATATATATATGTATTATTTTCAGTCTCGCGTTAGCGGATAAATCTTACAGCGAAACTAATTGTTATCCTGATTGTCGCTGTTATATACAATATGTTTGTTTATCAACAATTTGAAAATGTTGAAGCTATTACATATTTAATTTAGGCGCGCTTTTTCCACAATGGGCACAACACTTGTACAGCTCCATTTTGTATTTTCATTACAAGAATATAGTACTCTGTTCGTTGAATTTGTATGGGATGATATTTTTTAATGTTTTCATTCTGTCTGTGTCTTTACTCCTGCTTTTATCACCTCTCAGGAGAATGCAAAAAAGCCAAGTCAGCTGTATATCGTCTTGATTATCACAGCTATATCGCGAGGTATATGTGGTGGTAAATACACGGACTATAAAATAATATTTTTGGTATTTCTGGCTCTTATGATATACTCAGTCGGAGGATTTCATAATTTATCAAACATCATACAGAAATGCTATATTTTTCACTTACTTGCGTGAAAAAACAAACAAACAAAACAAAATCTTGGCACAGTTTGTTTACTTTAGCTTTTGAATTATGTAGCTTGTAGTCTTAACACTTGATGTGAAGGTTCACTCAAAGTAGTCAACAATGTTCGAAAAAATTAATATATGTAAGTAGCAATGAACGTGGCAGTTAAACGTTTCGTAAAAGTAGCAGTTAAAGAACCAAAGTGTTTGGCGGAGATTGATCGCATAGAAAAATTACTATATTTAGTAAGTACGAGATATATTTAGAAGAGAGTGTTTTGGATGGCATTGACTTCGAAAAAAATCAGGATGTCTTAGCTGAGCATTGGCTGTGGAATAAATCAAAATGCTTTACTAAAGGTTGCATATCTTTATATTATATTATACAGTAATAAAAGTGATTATGGAAGTAATATACAAACAAAAGTCACAAACAGCTAGTAATGGCAACTAAATGGTAAATGTATTAATGATACA